AAACGGCGGTCGCTCAAATGTCGGGGTCGCTCAAGTGTCGGGCGCTCAAGTGTCGGGCGCTCAAATGTCGGGTGCTCAAATGTCGGCGCTCAAATGTCGGCGCTCAAATGTCCGGCGCTCAAACGTCGGTTGACGACGCGAACTAGACCGTGTTTAATTTTAAAAAACATGTACATACGATTTACTTCGAATAAGTTCCTGATCACAAGCCATCCGAAATCTCTAAGTACTTTATTAGTATCGCAGCCGCTCATATCGCCTGTCGCTGTTATAGTAATTTGATACTGAGCTGATTGTAATTTATCTAAGTTTTTTTCTGTTTTTAATGAGTACAGTTCACTGCCATGTAGATGTAGTTATTTACATTTGAGAAAAATTGGGACAGTAGTCAACGGCTGCGTCTCAGACAAGGAGAGCATCAGCTCTGGTGGTCCTCAGCGGAGCATTCTTTTCTCGGAAGTTGAAAAACCAGATTAGGATCAAAATTTCTCATTTTTTGGCTAACCGATGGCGCTAATTAAGTTCAACGACTCAACATTTTCCACAATCGATACATAACTTTTTTTTCCCAAGTGTACCGGTTAGAATGAAATAAGAACGAATGCTTAGCATTCCAACGAAATAACCTGATAAGTTTCAAAGGTGGACAGTGGGCTTGTCGCAGTTTTGCTTGATTTTAGCAATTTTTGAGCTCATTTTAGCTTTGAAAATAGTACTGAAATTTTGCGAAAACAGTAAACCTTGAAATTGTGCTTATTTTTTGCAAATTTGGCTTATTTCTCCTTATTTGTTAAAAATCAATATTTTAAAATTTTTTTACCCAAAAATGACTTTTAAAATCGATGACTTGTCGAAACATTTTACGTAATATGCTGAAAAAAACCAAAAGGGACAGCTGATTTGTTGTTTTCCTCGCATTTATATGACCGCTTGACAACAATTTAATCCATGATAATAAAACAGTTGATGAAGGAATAGAACATCGGAATAATCTTACAGATAGTCTATCTCTCTTTGGTCACAATACCCCTTTTTTCTGGTATTTCGGTTCAGATGCGGACATTTTTACAGAAATATTAGTTTTTCAACTCGATTATAATATCAATTGTATCTCAGTTGCACAGTGGACCTACAGGCGGACATTTATAAAAAATTCGAAAATATTCGTTTTTGTGCTTTCAGTAGCGTCAAATATGCTTTGTTCAACGCGCTATGGAATGGTGCTAAACGTTTTAGCCCACGTGCTTTCTTTCTTCGAAAAGTTTGAGAAGAAAAAGGACGTATATTTCAAAGTCCTCTTAGAAAACTCAATTTTCCCGTTCCAATGAATCGATACAAATTCGTCATTTCAACATATTCTTAAGCAAAACAGTGTCATCTGTCTGCTGCTGGTACAAAACGTTTTCACTCTGGGTGGAAGCAACTTGGTAGAATCTAGCACTTTTTTCGAATAGTTGGTATTTCCAAACCAGTACTTCGGTTAAAGTTCATTTTTTAAATTTTCCTAAACTTCAACAAGATTCAAACTCACACCAAAATATTCATCAGGATGTGCTGTGTCTATGATGCATGCACAAAAATGCACAACTTTTCTCACACGAAGTTATGGATTATACAGAAAATTCTATTTTTTGAGAAAAAATCTATTTTCTCAGTCCAGGAAAGCTTTGATTAAGAAATAATGAAACATTTGGAATTAGTGCATAAAACTGTATCGAATGATGTATAATTTATTAGTTTTACAAATTAAACATTTTTTGACGAAAATTCAGGGCGAGGATCTAAGGGATTTTTTTTCCAATTCGACTTTATTTACTTCTATTTATATCTGACACATAGTAAGACTATATTATGAGAAAATAATCATTTTTTTAACTCAAAAAAGCTAGATATCCATCTGCCCTACGGAAAATACCCACTGTGAGCTGACATGAGACGTATGTATTAGATAATATCATATCCATAAAAAACATTTTTAGTTTAAAAATGTGAGATTTCATCTTAACCGATGTTGAAAAAATATACATGTACATACGACTTTAACTACAGCACGCGTGTGATAAAAGTAGAATGATAAGCGAGACTCATCGTTTATCATTCTACTTTTATCACACACGTTCTGTGGTTAAGGTTTCCGTGCGTTGGACCGTATCATTTCGTCTCTTCGTTTATACACGCTTAGTTTGTAATAAATTGTTATCTCTCACATGGTTAATAATTCTTCAGTCATTTTTTTTCCTTTATGTCAGAATATTATATAGAAATGAGTCCGTATTTATCTCTCGTACACAGCTATAAAAACTACTGAGAAGAAGAAAAGAAGGAGTGACTTTTATTCTCTCAAAGCTGTTTCAAAGTTATACAACCATTGTATGTAACTATAATGAAAAAAATACGCTCAAACTTACATCTTTAATTAAAACATCATTTGTTTTTTCTTCAACTATGGCAAAAAGGTATCCAGATGATCCATGTGATTTGAAACAATATTCACGTTTATTGGATATCAAAAACGAACAGATTACTTTATTGTCACCAATCGAAGGTTATCAAAATAAACCTTTACTTCCATTAGAAATTGCATGTGAACCCATTGAATATTTGGTACCAGATATTCAACGACACGTTCATCTTGCTAAAAATAATTCTAGTCAACAAGTCTCATCTGATGGTCTTACGCATGATGAACAAGCGTCTATCTGTCTATATACAATGGAATGGGAGCCACATGAGCAAAGACTTTATTTTGTTCTCAATCGTACACTATGGTCAGAAGACAGACAACAATTAAAACCTTGGTTTGACTATTTAAAACTCTTTTTAACAGCACTATTCAAATTGCCATCAATTGTAACTACGGTATGGCGAGGCATTAAATTAGATTTAAGTAGTGATTATTTAGAAGAACAAATTTATACATGGTATGGTTTTAGTTCCTGTACAAATTCTCTGGCAATATTAGAAAGTGATCAATTCCTTGGTAAAACGGGTACAAGAACATTGTTTAACATTGAATGTGATAACGGAAAAGTTATTCGTCAATTTTCTAATTATAATGCAGAACATGAAATTTTATTATTGCCAGCTATACAATTTCAAGTTAAAAGTAACAGTAATCTAGGAAATGGATTGAATATTATCCATTTGAAAGAAATCAAGCCAATATATCCGTTGTTAGAATCACCATTTGAAAAAGGTTCAACAGCTAAGATCCAACAATCTAACGAAGATATATCCATTGAAGTGGAAGAGCTGAATGAAATAATGAATCAATTATTAGACGAAATAAAAATAAATCAACCATCACAACAACAACAACAACAACATTATCCATCTCATCATAATAAAGAATTAGAAGATGAGATAAATAAGCAAAAAACTGAAACATGGTTAAATTTAGACAAGAGACAAATAACAGATCAAGATATGATTTTATTATCGAATGAATTGAAAATAAATACTAAATGGACAACAATGTATTTACGTTGGAATCAAATAACATCTGTTGGTATACAATATTTATGCGAAGGTTTAGAAAAAAATGAAACAATTACTACGATCACTTTTTCTACAAATCAACTCGGAGATATGGGTATAAAAATTTTAAGTCAATTCTTAAAAACAAACAAAATACTATCCCGAATCTATTTAAACAATAATCAAATAACAGATGAAGGTGTCAGTTATATAGCTGAAATGTTAACTGAAAATAAAACATTAACAGAACTTATTTTAGATGAAAATTTTATCGGAGACATAGGAATGAATACAATATCATTAGCATTAATACAAAATTCAAGTTTAAGTGTTTTTTATATTCAAGAAAATAAAATAACAGACAAAAGTATTGATATAATCAAAACATTGTGCAATATTAATGATACATTATGGTACTTATATTTGTCAGATAATCAAATATCTGACAACGGTCAAAAACAACTTCAACAAGGTATTACAGAAAATAAATGTAATTTCATTAGAACTCCATATCCTCTCTGAATATCTGTGTCTTTGCTTTGATTCATTTTCACCAATGGTCTGCACATATCTATATTTCATGAAAAAGAAGGGTCTACTGTAGATATACAAAGAACGATCTTTTTCGTAGAATTCAAGTAACTGTTTATACAGATCCATCAATTTATTTTGAAACGATTTGCATACAGTTTTTCTTTACAAATTGTTTCAGAAAAAAAGTTCCTTACTATATATACCCGCACTCTTTTTTTAATTGCTTATAATGAGTACAAAAAGATTTGAAATAATTTTTATTACAGTCAAATGGTCAAGAATTCGATGCTTTACAAAAGCGTTTACTTGAAGGAAACTTATTTCAATTAGTAATGGCTTTAAGACATAAACTTTCAAGTCCACTGAAGTTTCTAGCACTAAAAAAACGTTTTGACCATTTCAGTGTAAAATCCAAAGTTCAAATCATTAGTTTATGGACCAAAAAATGCAGAATTTCGCGCTCTATTAGACTGTGTAACTTACAAATAAATCTGCTACTTTTTTACCTGAAAAACTAGAGAATACTGGTTGTCGCTAAGGCTCGTAAGATGTCCAAAAATAGAAGAAAAATGACATTTCTTAAAGACTCTTTTTCGCTCTGAGTTCATTTAAAAACTCATTGTTTGTCATTAAAAGGACATCATATTGTAGAGAATTTCTTGCTGAATTTTTCGGTATACCTTGTTTTGTTGAACAAATGATTTTTAGTTAGATTCTGCGCAAAAAATCGATTTCTTGAAGGTAAACTTAAGAAGTTTGGAGCTTTTCCTGTTAAATTTACTGTGCCAAACATCAAAGATGAGTCTTAAAAATGAATATATAATCTTGTAGAGAATTAAATTGTCTATCGTTTGGTATAGTAAGAAACTTTTTTTCTGAAACGATTTGTAAAGAAAAACTGTATGCAAATCGTTTCAAAATAAATTGATCGGCCTGTATAAATCGATAATGAAAAATCGAGATTTTAAGATGACTACAATTTTCCCTGTTCGTAGTGCTTTATTGATCAATCGATAAACAAAACTCTCTTTTGTGTACCACAACAATGCCATATCTCGTGTATATGTTCCATCAAACTCATCAATCTGATTAAGTACTGCTTCATTAGCATGATAATATTTTCGACATTCTTCAATAAGTTCATCCTTTTCATCTTTTGTGCGAGGCAAATAAACTAATATTTCAACTAATAATTTGGTAAAAACGAAATGTACCATTGTTATTATTGTAAGAGTCGTGCATTGACGTTTTTTCATTATCATTGTTAACTAGGCATGTACTAATGGTGCTTGAAATACTTATATAACTTAATTTAACATGATCTCTAAGCTTAATTAGCGCTGGATCTACATCGAGGAATATCCCATGTATTTTGGAATAATTCAATGACCATTCAGCATATTTCTCTTCATATTTACAGAAAACATAGATACAGAATACTTGTAGTATATTATTGACGAGTCAAGTAATTGCTTAACTTAATTCACCGGATGTAATTAAGGAAACTTTTTCAGTTCTAACTGTTAATATAAAGTTAGCACATTTTTCAATATTTGCAAAAGTTTTCAGATAATTGATGGTTTCATGGAATAATGTAGCCGTCTTCGAAGAATAACTGTCTTTCATTCTAATACTTGCATCTAACCATAAAAGAGTCAATTCTTCAAGATTATCCGATGAATTAAAATGTGATAAAACTGATTGAGAAGCAAAAGCTCGTAGTTTTTTTTGGATTATGCGAAGGTTTATAGATCACGCTCTGAAGCACTTGCAAAAATTAGAGAATATACGCAGAACAATTACAAAAAAAGGATAAGACTGAGCAACATATAACGACGAAGCATTTATATTACTGGTAAAAGGCTGAGTATACAGAACACAGGAAAAAGAGAAACAACAAAAAATAAAAATAAAAACAGTAAATAATAAAAAATTGTATCTTACCACTGTTTTAACAAACAAATTCTAATCATTTAACGAGAGAAGATTCGTGCTTAGGTATCATTATTTATAACCCATTTCGTACAGAAAAAGTGACCATACTTAGAGGATCTCTCATGAAAGTTTTCCCAAAAGAATAGATCGTTAAAAAAGAAGGATGAACCCAAATCGGTTTCATATAACTTTGACAACCTTTTAGAAATATACTTTTTTATATAATGAACTAGGGTAGGTTCTTTTATAACCTTAAACATATCATCAGCCTTTATAAAATGACATCTGTAGATAATACGAAGACCCACTCTGTATTTTCTAAGGAATAATTCTTGTTGCGTTAATGAAAGTAGCGGAAAGAAGGAAAATATCCAACTAAAGAATGGGAACGAGTAAGCGAAAAAACACGATCGTAGCACACTAGATGATATTTGTTTATTTCTATTTAACCATTTCAGTTTAATATACGATTTATCTATATTTTCTAAACATTTTTCAACAGTGTGTTTTTTAAGGAGAGTTTACTTGTCTATATAAAACCTAGATATTTAAATTCGGAGACCGTTTTTAGTTTGCCACCATTAATATAAACATCAATACATGATTTTTTAACTTGTGAATAAAATAACTGTCCAACTGTTTTCGAGAGGTTAAGGGATTGTTTCCATTGAATGGAGTATTTGGTTATTCTCTCACATACCTTAAAGCCTTCGTCACTTAAATAATCCAACAGTTTATGTAGTTTAACACTTATTGGAGAAGTTATCAAAACTGATAGATCGTCCGCGAAAATATGAGCTGTATTTCACCCTACTTTGATTACTAAATCTGAATGAAAAATTATAAAAAAGTATGAGCTTAAAGAACTACCCTGCCTAAATAGAGCTATAATTTAGTGTTTTCATTTGCATTACTTTAATTTCGTTCTGCACTCCTTCTCCTCATCAACTTTCGTCAATTGAAGAGAAGTAGTTCACCGATCATCATCAACAACCATCGTACATTACTATTATTATCATAAAATAAACATTAAAAGACTTAATATTTCATCATTATTGTACGTTAGTTTTTCTGTAAAATATTTTATCGTAATAATAATTTGTTGTTGGTGTGTAAAACCGAACTGAAGGTTATTTTTGTTATAGCAAGTTATAGAGGGCTAACGTGCTACTACAAATTGAAGGTCCTACCCAGATGCTGATACAACATTGATTTGTATAATCAGCACCATCAACAACATCGCCCTTATTATTATTACTATTAATTACTAATTATTAGCGTCATCTCTTTATCTATTAATTACATCACCACGATTCAACTTCTCATAGTGTTTTGGTAACATCTTAACCTTCCGAATACGTTTCTGATATTCTGGTAAGATCTATCCGAAACTGTTTAGCAGGTGGTGGTGTAAATCTAATTTTCGAGAAAGCATATCCTTATCAGAATTCGATATGTCTCGAGAATTACCAATCGATAAGGATAAGAAAGTAGAAGGTCCGCGTTTGGGTAGCTCTACTGAACGCGATGCATCCTCTTTAGAATGCGATAAATCTGTAGTTACTGTGAAGCCGAAACTTCCACCAGCGCCTTCAGTAGCCTCTATCTCATATCGATGTTTTGGCAAAATTCTGCCAAATCTGTGACAGTTCTAAGAATATTCTTGCAAAATTCTGTTATATTTCACGAAATTCTGCTTTGCTTGGCAAAATTCTGAAAATATTTCACAAACTTCTGGGGACTGTGGTGGCGAATTAGTCTAGTTTATGATTGATGAATTTTGGCTGCGTTGAGGATAAAATTTCACCATTGCACAGCTATGAAGAAGACAGCTGCACTGAACGTCGTTTTTGGAATAAAACAGATTTACCAGTATCGGTTAACCGTACATCCACATCTGCCTCTTTATTGCTTCCATATGTATTAAAACCGAAGCAGAACAGAAGCATAACCACGAGTAACCAACAAATGATTTTGATTTCCATGGCGAACGAATAACGTGTTATCCAAAACGTTACCTAAATCAGTTTTTGTGGAAACTTTCGATTTCTGTTCGGTTATACCTTCCAATAATTAGACATAATCTGATGCTTCAATAGTACAATTGAAGGTATTCCCCATTTAGTTTCAGCTTTGTTTTGGACAAATGATACGAGTTTTCTTTCATTTCTTCTCAAACCATATCGACATGACTGACAGGCGCCGATTTTTCGGTTAAGTCTTTGCTGGTTTTCCTGGCAACCAACAATCTCCAAAACCCTTTCGAGTTTTCTAAAAATCCTGAGTTTGACAAAAAACTAAAACCTAACTTAATTCAAAAATCGGCGCTTGTCGGTCCATGTAGTTTCTTTTCCTCTGTTAAACAAAAAAAGAATAAACTCTCTACGACAAATCGCTGTTAAAAATCCGAAATGGCTATTGACACGCCTGGGCGTGTCTATGAAGACGTAATGCCCCGTTCCTGACACTAATCCCAACTAGTACATACATGTACAAGTCAAAAGTTGAATTCAACTATTAATAGTTGAAAAATTATTTCAATTATTCAACTCTTCACTTATTCAGCTATTTCAACTATTCATTCAACTCTTCACTTCAAAAAATGAATAAAGCAGAAACTATTCGATTTTTCAGATATTCAGTTGAAAAAAACGTTCAATACTTATCTAGTTTTGCCTTGGAGGTGGTAAATTGGGAGGGGGAGGGGGAGGGGGTGAAAGTGAATTTAGAATTGAATTAACACTTGAATAATTGAACAGTCGAATAGTTGGAATAATTGAATGCAACTTTTGACTTCGACACTACTCAACTGGTAACACCTAGAAAAGTAATTTCATGGAATTTAATGTTGCTTAAAATTTTAATATTTATTTTTAGAGAAAAACTTTATCGTGAAAAGTAGTGAAGAGAAATGACTTCGAATTGTCTTCAGAGTCTCGAATTAAAGAGAACGAAGTGAGGCTATCTGGAAACGGTGACGAAATAAAGATAAATCATGCCTTTATATAAGAAAATATCTATCGGAAAAAGAATGTTAATCTATGCGGACAGGT